GACAGAGGGGTGCGGTGGGTCAGCAAAGCAGCCAAAGGCTTCCCAAAGGAGGTCACTTCCTCCTGGCTGGCAGTAGGCCCAGCTCTGGGGAAGCACTCAGCCTCCAGCCAAGTGACCCCACGAGGTCTTCGTCCTAAATCAGAGAGGTGTGTTGCTCAGTGGGACCCTCAGCTGGTCCAAGGGCTGGATGCCCATCTCTGTGCGCCTCCGTGTAGGCCCCAGGTCTCTCTCCTCCTTCCACACGGGCTCTCAGGAGGTGGCTCTGGACATGTCCATGGGATCCAGAGAAATTAGCAAAGTGATTTCTACCCCTTGAGTAAGAGCCAAAGTGACAGCTGAGTGAGAGGCCATTATTAAATGAAGGGGGCATCAAGGAGCCAAGCTTAGCAGACTCAAGCACCATGACTCCAGCCTGAGCAAAAGCCTTCTTTAGAGATGCAGGTGTGAGAGAAATGTAACCCCAGTCAGAAGCATCCTTCCATTTCGTGGACATCAGCTGGTGCAGGGGTCTCACAGCCACAGAGACCTATCCGGGGCTGAGCAGACAGGAGCAGGTGGAGAAAGTAAGCTTGCCACATTCCTGCAGGGCATCAGGGGGTTGTCACCGTCCTCCTCTGGACTGGGGTTAAGAGTTCCTTTGGCCACCACAGGAACAGGAGGGTCACTGCCTCCCACCTTGGGGACTGGCTTTCCCACCTGTCTTACCTCCATGGTGGTCTTACTGAGCAGGGCTAGATGGGCATGGACACTCAGCTCTTAAAGCAAGAATGTGGCCTCAGTGCAGGCATATTTGAAAAACCAAGTCAAGGACTCAGGGCTCCAGGCGCACATCTGACATTTGTCTCCTCAGGCCCAGAAAGTTTTCCTGTCTCTAAAGAAACAGCTCCTACCCTCTGGCCTTTGTCCCCAACTCTAGTGGAGCAAGGCCATGGGAGGGTGCCCAGGGCTCATTGCCATCTAGCAAGGCCCAAGAATGGGACTGGCCCACCCCAGTCAGACGACCACCTCTGCTTGCAGCTGGCACTGCCTCCCTTTGCACTCTCAGCCCGGAAGCTCACCTCCCAGCAACTTGCTGGCCCTAGGCCACTCGTCCCAGGAATCAAGACGGCGAGATAATCGACCCCCCACCCCACACTGAAGTCTTGCCTTTCTCTTGGTCTCCCTTATTTCCCTCCACATCCTTTCCCACTCAGCCCTCCTGCTCCAAGGCTAGGGACTCTCGGATTCGGCATACGGGGTGGGGCGGGGTCTTTGCTTCTCTTTGCTGAGTGTTGAGAGAAGCAAAAGGCTGGCCGAAGGACAGTGGAGGGAGAGTGCTGAGTTGCACGCTCACATGCGTTAGCACACACATGGATGGGTGCACACATGCTGGTGTACCTGCCCAGAGGGGCTGCAGGAGGCCCTGGCAGCGCCCAGCTGGCTGCCTGCAAAGCAGCCTAGTGCTTGCAGGTGTACACAAGCTCCTCCTGCACGCACTGCTGGCACTCCACGTAGCAGCACCACTGCACCTGGCAGTGGCAGGAGAAGGCCACCATGCGACTCTGGGTGTCGTAGCCCCGCCCGCAGCACAGGCTGCTGCCACTGGGCCCCCACGGGCACACTCTGCCCGCCGTGCCGGGTGAGTACTTGCTGGGGCGGCAGAAGCTGGGCGAGTCCTCCATGTAGACGAGGTCCCCTGGCCGGGGCACAAGGCCCTTGGCAGGGCTGCCCGGCTTGGTGGGTGCCCACAGCTCCAGGCGGCCCAAGGCCTCGTTGGTGGCACTGGATACCTTGAGAGCCGAGTCATAGCGCAGCTTCAGCACCTGACCTGTCTCACGGAATGGGGAGAGCTGCTTCCAGCAGGTGCGCACGGCACAGGAGCCTGACACGCCATGGCACTTACACGTGGTCCTGAGGCCACTCTTCACAGCCTACGAGGAGAGGCAGAATGGAGGCATGATCGGAGGTCAGGGCCCAGAAGGCTGAGCCTGCCCAGAGTGTCAGTCCTGGCGGGGAGATGGCCAGGGGATGGGACGGAGGCGGGGGAAGGTGCATATGAGGGGAACAAACAGGACCTGGACAACCTGGGAGGCACCTTTGAGCCAACTAGTAAAAGGCCCCCTTCCCTCTAGGCAGAGGCTGCCCATGTCCATACGCATGGTGTGAGAGCACTGCAGGCCAACCTCAGTCCAGCACCTCCCCTGGCCTGGAATTCTTCTGGAATAGACAACTGGCACCATGGACACAGCAGCCCTGGTTGGCACCAGCTTAGAGATGAGGGCCCAGAACAGAGAGTTCAGTTCCGGCAAAACAGTGCTGGCCTATCCCAGACTTCTCTTCCCATAGGCCTAGACACTTCTCCAGTCTACCATGTGCCCTCGGCTAAGTCTTCTCCTTCTCTGGGCCGCTTCTGTCTTCCCATCCACAGCGTGGGAAGGGGAAGGAGGGGTGGGTGTTGCACTAGATCAAAGCATTCAAACTATGTTGGCTTCTGGAACCGCCAGGAAGGCCCAGTCCTGGGAATGAAAGTCTCTGTCCAAGCTGTTCCTGCTGCATCCAGGGGGCTGGTCCGAAACCCAGCTCATGGCTCCCAGCTGCCCGGGAAGCCCAGACCTCTGTCCCACTTCTGTGGTACTCCTGGTTCCCAGGAGGTGCTGGGAATTTGGCTGAAAGCATAAAGTTCATGCAGGATAGTTCCCTGTGTGTGTGTTGTGGGGGGCGGAGGGAACCCCCACAGACCTTGCTTCCCTGCTCTGTACCCTGGTTGGGGAAGGTGTGCAAAGCTCAGAAACAAACTCACCTTGATGCCCACATGGGTGTTGTGGGCATCTGCCCGTGCCCGCAGGTCCTTGCTTCCTCTCTTGGGTCCCAGGAAGTGGCTCAGGAACTTGGTGCTGTACTTGAGGTTGTCGCCACACACACCCCACTGCCAGGCCTGCCGGCTCTCCAGGCCCGGAGAGTCGTCACAGGTGCACCGCTCCATGCGCCCAGCACTGCAGGCCCGGGCCAGTGTGTGGGTGAGGGCGGCTGAGGACACTGCGTACAGGAAGGCCGTCTCCTTGAAACCTGTGTGGAGCACCCCGAGGGGACAAGGAGGAGGCTCAGGGGCTGCCCACTACCCTCTGAGGGCAGCAGGCTGCAGGAAGAGAATGGCAGGGGCACTGTGGCAAGAGGCATGAGGGGAATGTGAGCCTGAGGACACAGCTCTGGGCAAACCTCTCTGTTGCCTGCCCCTTAAACTCAGGTTGCAGCTCGCATTTCAACAAAACACTCAAATTCAGGATGGGTAGGTCCTTGACTCCCAGTGGGCAACAGAATGGGGTGCTGCCTCTCTTGAGCAGATCAGAGCACTGTTACACAAAGAGAGTGACTTGGGCACCAGTGAGGGGCACAGCTGGGGCTCATCCAGCTTCCTGGACCCCAAGTTCCTGTGTGACACATTGGATGAAGCCACCCCAGAGATCCCTGGCCCTTGAGATATGCCCAGGTACGCCCTCTGGCTTTGTGTGCTTCATGATGCCTCCCAAGCAGCCTTCTCTGCTGCCCACTATGGAGCTGACCAATGACAGAGTGACCTCGGGTCTCCTGCCTGACTGCCCCAGACTGACCACCCATTCCTTCCAGGACCATTGCTATTCTGCTACCATGGGGGTAGGGCCTGAACTTGGGCCCCCACAGACTCACACCTCCCACCTGCTCTCCAGTGGACCTGGGGTGCTGATGACACTGACTGACAGAGAGAGAGGAGCAGCCGTTAGCTCTGGCCCAGCTCCTCCTGAGCTGGCCAGAGGGAAATCGTTGCCCTGTGTACTACTGCTGCATTCTTGCAAAAGGCCTTTCCACCGAGGATGGAGTCACACCTGTCTCTCCCTTTTAGACTGCAAACTTCCCAAAGACAGGCGGTCTTGCTCAGCTCTCTGCCTCCAGCATCTAGCTCAGTGCCTGGCTCAACAACACTCAGGGACTGGGTAGATGGATGGAGGGTAGAAGGATGCAGGCAGAGGGACACAGGCAGGCTGGGAGTGGAGGAAAGGAAGGATCACGGACTCGTGGATGTGACGAACAGAGAGATACGCATGTGCAGGTGCAGGTGTGTGTGTGTGTGTGTAGGAGGCAGAATGATGTGACTGGGGGCATTGTGGCTTGTGTGGGCTCCTCCTCTCTTCTGTCTGGCTTGCCCCTCTGCTCCCCTAAACCTGGCCTGGGCATGATCTGTCTTTGATAGATTCTTATAACCCCCAGGACTCTTCTCACCTACTGTGCTAGGGTGGCAAGGGTCATGTGGCCTCAGCAAAGGGACTGGGGGAGAGAGAAGGGTGGCCTCCCCAGCCCTTCTCCCTCCAGACTGCCTCCTCCAGCCCTCTCTCAGCCTCCTCCCCCAGCCCTTCTCCCCACCTCTCTTGAGCAGGCCAGTCCTGCCCTCCAGGCTGCAGTTCCAGCGCTCATGCCGGAACTGGAACTGGCACTCGAGCAGGCCAAGGTGCGCAGCATCCCGCAGGCCTGCCCCCCCGCCGACACAGCTGCTTCTGCCGCCGGGACAACTTCAGCAGATCACACTGCTTCAGGTGGGCCCCACCCTCCACTGGGGCTGATGCAGTACCCACTCCTGGGAAGGGTGTCAGGACGTCACGCCCGGTCAGACTGGAGAGGGAAAGAATGGGGAGATGCTGAGTTGGACAGAGGAGAAGGCAGGATGACCGTCTCTGGGCATGTGGGGCAGGTGAGGGCAAGGGGGCCTCCTCAGGAGCTTCGTTCACTTCACAAGCAGGTCCATGGGAGTTGTGTTCCCTATTTTACCGGGTAGAAAATCAAGGTGCTTATTTTTTTAATAATTATTTAATTTTATTTATTCATTCATTTAATTTGACTAGAGAGAGATAGAGAGAGAAAGAGAGAGAGAGAGAAAGTGAGAAAGCAAGCCACCAGATCTGGGACTCGAAACATGGTTGGTCATGTGGGGGTGTCCAGTGCCTTAACCACCAGGCCACCTGCTGGTCCCCTCAAAGTGCTTATTAACAAGGCTAGCACAGAACTTCGGACCAAGTTTTTCTAGATTCCAGTCTCTGCTCTTCTTCCTTTATCCTCCATATTTCCCAAATTGGCCCAGTTAGAAAAATCGCCTGGGATACTTAATAAAATATGGATTCCCAGGATCCCCAATCGGCCATTCTGATTGTATTGGTCTGGAGTTGGGGGTGGAAATCTGTGTATTTACCAGTTCCCTGGGCATCTTCCACAGTCAGGGAACGTCTGGGAAATACCGCATTTTGTATCAGTCACTGCCTGCAGGGGAGAGACACACTCCCAAAAGGAGCAGGCAGGGGGGTGGAGCTGTGGGCAGTCAGCCAACCATGGTCCCGGGCCCGGTCCCCGCTAGCCTTCTCTCTCTGCTTCATGCTGCAGTCCAAGTCATCTCATGCCAGTCCAACTTGCTTCCGTAACTGCCAGGTAGATCTTCAAACATCTGGCTATTTGGTGCCTGGTACGGACAGATATTTGGGGAATACTAGGAAGAAAGGAAGGAAGGAAGGGTGAGGGGAAGGGAAGGAGGGAGGGCGGGAAGAAGGGAGGAGGGAGAGGAGGCCAGGCTGACTGATGGCTGGGTGAAGGTGAAGGAGCTGAATTTCCATCAAGCCAGAAGTCTATCCCAGGCGTCTTGTACTCCTGTATCTGAAGCGCATCAGTTCTGGAGTCAGGCTGCCGATTTCTAAGACTGACTTGGCCACCTGCTAGCTGTGCAACTCTGAAACCTTGATTTTCTCCTGTTGAAGCCAGACCCTCTCTAGCCGCCAGGGTTACTGAGAAGATGATATGAAAAGGACTAACCACAGTGCCTGGGAACACAGGCTCACCTTCCTGCTAGCCGGAGTTTCCCAAATGTCTCTCCTCTTCCAAGAAGCTTTACTCTCTAACTGGGCAGTCTCCCCTTTGCCCAGATATGGACATGGAGGTTTCATGAGGAGGCAGTGACTGGCCCACATCAGCAGCAATACAGGAATGAGAATTAGAATTCTCGGAAGCTCCCTGGAAGATGTTTCTATTATACTACTGGGTCATCCGAAAAGTCACAATGCATTTTTGCATAGAAAAACAGAGAAATATGTCATGGCTTTTCGGATGACCCAGTAGTTCAAAGTGTTTGCTGGGCTATACCAGGTGCCCCCACCAAGTATGGGTGGAATGTGCAACACTCCAGGGCCCGGGCTAGAGGAAGTAGCCCCCTTTCAGGATGTATTGACCTTAAAGCCAGGGCAGAAGAGCGAAGGAGGCTCCTAAAACTCCTGCTTGGAAGTAGCACTTGCCACTGTTGCTCACGTGCCGTGGCCAAACCCTGAGGCCAAGCCCTGCATGGTCAGAGGCCTACGTCCCACTGAGCCAAGGGCACACTCTCGTCCTTGGAGCAACTGCTATGGCCAGGACATCTGGCTGGGTGCCACGCCCTGTCTGCCTCAGGAATAGGAAGCCTCACGGGAGGGTGTAGGTCCTGGCCAGGCCCCAGGTACCCCCAGAAAGTGCCTGTGGACTCCTAAGCCATCAGGAGCAGCCAGCACAGTGTGGAGCATGTCCTGAAACCTCCGAGCAGAGACAGATGCTATCGGGCTTCTCCTGGCCGGCCTGCCCTGGGCTCCCCTCCTAGACAGGATGAGGGCAGGGACCCGTTAATGATTAATCTGGGGGCAAATGGGTAAATTTCCAGTCCACCGGGTCTACACCCAAACCCCTCCCTGCAGTCTGGCAAGAAATCCTGAGAGCTTGACCCTTGGCAGGTCCAGAGCAGAGCCTGACCAACTGTCTGGCTTCTAGTGTGGAAGGCACCATAGGGGGTAGCAGGTAACAGAGGAGGCAGCAGCCACTCAGCCCCTCAAATGTTCTCTACTCAGCGGGGGCTGGTGTGAGGGATGACTTTGCATGCACAATTCCTGTATTTCTGAGGTTGGGACCTCCCTTATAGAAGCTGATTGACAAATGGGAGAGCAGCAGGGAGTGATGGGAATTTGGTCCTGGGGCAGGGGTGTGGGGGAGGGCAGTGCATCCTTCAAGGCCTGTCTCGAATGCCATTTTTTTAAAAACAATTATTGATTTTAATTTTGTTTATTCATTCACTTATTTATTTTTTTTTTGGAGAGGTTTTTGCTATAGGGCGCATGCACTCGCCAGACAGACAGAGAGAGACAGAGAGATAGAAAGTGAGAAATCACCCCCCAGGGGGGATGGCCACGCCACAATCCCTTCTCCTCCATTCTCCTCTTGGGATCTTGGGCACGCACGCACATGCGCCCGGCGTGAGTTTAAGCCACCGGGTCCGGGACTCGAACCACGGTCGACTACGTGGGAGTCCAGTGACATAGTCATTACGCTAACTGCTGGTCCCCATTCACTTATTTTAATTTGACCAGAGAGAGACACAGAAAGAGTTAGATAGAGAAAGTATAAAAGCAAACCAACAAGTCCAGGACTCGAACCGTGGTTGGTCATACGGGAGTATCCAGTGCCTTAACAACCACGCCACCCACTGGTCCCTCAAATGCCATTTTAAGAATGGTTATTATTACATCATTACAGGTACGTTATCTGTCATATTAATTAAAACAGGACACCTACATTGGTCATGTTCAAAAAAATTCATGGAAATTCCAAATTAACATATACATTTAAAAAAATCCATTTATTTATTGATTTCAATTTGACCAGAGAGGGACAGAATGAGAGAGAGAGAGAGAGAAAGCAAGCTGCCAGGTCTAGGACATGAACCATGGTCGGCCATGTAGGAGTCCAACACCCTAACCACTACACCACCTGCCAGCCCTGAATTAACATATACATTTATTTTGGTGCAAAAAAATTTGAAATCCACACTTAGTTATTTCCTGGTACACATTTTTCATGAATCTTTTGGAAAGTGCCCTCACATGAGCGTACCTATCACACTTTCTGAGTGCTTACTAAGTCTTTTATTTCTCTTTCTTTTAAAAAAAAAATTGCCAAAAGGCCCATATAGTTGATATAAAAAGAGAGACAGATGGAGGGA